CTTGACTTCCATAGTATATTTTTTCATACTAAGTCAAAACCATCAACGGTTTGGTTACCAACATTCCTCAAAATATCTTCTTTTGTGACAGTATCATTATTATAATTGCTATACAATGCCAACATTTAATTTAATATTAAAATGAGTTTGAAAAAAATTCATTAATCAGTTACAATATGTGACTAGGATTATCCCATCGTTGACATAATGTGAGTATTTAACTACTGAATAAACTGAACATGAAATGTTTGTTCTGAAGCCCATCAGCTATGCAGAAGAGTAAGTATTTTTCAATTCTTTCAGTTGGTTAAATATTCACTTTATTACAAATGCTATTTTGGTGGTGCCTGTGCAAGATTTGCCACTATGTTACAAGGGTGTTGTGGGATTGCTATGTAGTTGCTAAGGTATTCTGAATAGTTTTTAATGTGTTGTTGTACATTTGCTAAGCTGTGTGGTTACTAGTTGGATGCTCAGTTTTAAAGAGCAGACCCAGGTCTCTAGTAATGACTCAGGTCCCTCCATCAGAGTAAGTCTATGAGATTTTTTTCATCCGTTTTATGGTCCGCCATGTGTTTTAGAATGGCTCTATCCTGACTATGAGCCATTTAACTAGAAATGCATGCCCAAGCAAGAATTACAAATCTGGAAATGTGACAAATATTGGCTTTCTTTGTCGAATAATGTGATTAAGCAACAGCATTTGTACAGTAGGCCTACAGCTTTCTCGTTTGCACAGGCTCTATGTTATCGTGCCTGGGTTGTGCTTTTGGGGCGTCGTATATAAAGGGTAGTTCCTCTTTGAGGTGAACTTTCCTGTCACTAGATACAGGGCCAAATCTGAGAATTTTACAGCGGTTCTGCGACCTTCGGTGACTGAAGACATGACTGCCTTGAAACTGGGGTTTCTCTTTTTCACTGCCCTTCTAGGCTCAGGTAAATGAAATGTGTGAATATTTACTGAATTACAAATATGGAATAATGGTGTGTGACAAGAAATATAATCATGAGCTATATTAAAAAGTGTGCCTGATTTTAGCCAACAAGGCCATTTACACTTTTTTTTCTACAAATATCTCCCTCAAAACTAGTGTGAATTTGTTTACATTTGACATCTATACACATTTCTCACAGAAATATTGTAATG